TCCCAGCATGCCTGCATTTGTTCAGTCCTACAATGAATACCAAATAGTTTCGATATTGTTACACTTGTATCACAATAAAGCCTACCAAGAAAATGGTTATGTTCCACTCACATATTTTGAGGTAATTCGGGGCATCAAACCATTCTCTAATTCAGTATGGCATGGCCATGTGCCATTGTCACACATAAAAATTACTGGGTGAACAGACACCTTTAGGGAGTCTACTCTCTCTTTCCACCTTTACATGGGACCTGGTGGTCACAGTCAGGTAGTCAGGTGTGTGTCATTTTGTGGCAAGTGCCCTTACCATTAGCCAATCTAACCACAGTCCCTCCTCCTCTGGATTTATATTGCACCATAACTGGTTTTGTTGTTATTTTGTGTTGTCATTTGTTTGAACCAGAATGCAAATGAAGTCTATGTGGTAATCTGTTGATGTGGCTTGTCAGCTAATTTGCAGCTATTTTGTTTGTGCTGGTTGGTTGATAAATATAAAAAGCCAGGTGATTTGTTTTACAGAGTTTTCCAAACTTCAAATTTTAATTGTTGTATCTTTATAAAGAAATCAAAAGACCATGAAAAATCAAATTATATTTGTTAGCTGATCATGGAATCTATAGGTTCAGATGTACTCAGGTTCATTTGGAGCTCTCTTTCAGCAGACCATACCAAGGCTCCTCTGTAGTGATGTCTGTTCTCCTGTCAGGAGGCTCAAGATTTCTGAATGGGTACTTTTATATGCTCCCAATTCTTGATCTGCAATCCAACCCTTTATCTTTGATTTAACTCTCCTTGGTCACATTATTACTTGTTCTTTAACATATTTTGTTTTACAATTCTATTCCTGCAAGAAAATGAGCTTTCTCTATTATACAAAGTGATACCTAAACATTCCAGGTGAACACATCTATAAGGAAACAAACATTTTTTTATTTATTTATTCTTCTCCCATACATTATATCTTGACAACAGCTTCCCCTCCCTCCACTCTTCCCAGTGTCCCCCAACTTCCCTCTCTCCTGGATCCACTGCTCCCTTGGAAACAAATATTTATAAAAATTAAGAGCCACTGGAAAAACATATTTGAGATTCCATCAAAGAGCCATTATCTGCAAAGGTGACCGTTATGAAGCTATAGAAATTGAATAATTAGCAGATGGAAAAAAAAAGCCTCTAGTTCTTGAGTTTTCTGGATATGAAGGGTAAACACATGCCATTTGTCTTTAAAAACATGGAATTTAAGTGAGAGAAGATGGAATTTGAGCTTTTTGTTTTATTCCTTATGAATAATGCATTTTATCGTGTGCCAAATTACCAAAGCATTCCATGGTGAGGTCAATCCAGGAAGTTTCATACTGTTTGACTGTCCATCAGGATTTCTAAGTCACACTGATGAGATGCTGACATGAATGTTGTAATGTCTGTCACATCATGAAAGGTATTCACTTAACTGAGACAGGATAAAATCAGATCAACAGAAACATGTAGATTTCTACATGCATATGTATGATAAACTACACGAATTAAAGAGAATCCAATTAAAGACATAACATATTTACACAAAGTTGAATGAGAAACCAGATATGATTGTTTCCTTTCAACCCATGATATGGAGTTGTGGAAGGATTCCTTTTTAAATGACTTTCTTGAGATATTAGTTACATGACCTTAAAGTACACAACTCCGTGTTCCCTGGTACATTCATGGGATATGTAACCATCACCACAATCTCATCTCTATCTACCCTAAATTAAGTTTATACCCACCAACTGTCACTTCCTACCCTCCATTCCTCATTACCTACACTGTATCCTACACTGTATGCAGCCAATTATTCACTTCTCTAATGCCTTTTATTTTTTTACAATATCTGTCATAAGAACAAGAATGGCTTGGAGCCCTCCACTGCATGAATTGCTACCTAAGAAAGAAAGATGTAGCAAAATAACCAAAAGAGATTCCAATAACATGTTGTAGCCTAAGTAATCACTGGGCATTACTGTCCAGGATTGGCAGAATATATTTGAAGAGGTATGGATATATTTGAAGAGGTATGGCTTTCAGAACTTTACCCACAGAGAATAAATAGCATTTTCAGCCAGTTCAATTCCTGACATCACAGCTCACCATTTGAGCAACTCTGAATACATACAGTAACAGTGATGAGGCAGGCTTCATAAAGTTTCCCTGTAGAACATGCATGCGAGCCTTAGAACTAAACTTGGTAATCCAGTGCTCAATAAAATTCTTTCCTATGCCAACTTACCACATGCCACATCTGATTGGTGTTTTCAAAATCTCTATTCAAAGACATTTTCTCCTTGAAGGCAATCCATGGTGATTGAAGATGCTGAAATGCAGGCAAAATAGCACTGACCAAACACAATTAAGATTAGAGCTATAGAATGTGCAGGTGATCTGGCTGCAACATCTGTCACACCATTGATTTCCAGGGTTAATTCAGCTGATCTGACTGGCTAGGAGGGTGTCCCCTTCCTCCCTCACTGCTCCATGTATGTCCCTCCCGAAGCTGCATGCTCAGTTGAAGAGGACAATCTTCTCCAAATAGAGGAGGACTGGTCTTTAGTGAAGGATATTTGAGTAGCAACACTCCCCTGCTAGAACCTCCAAACAAGCTCTCAAGACTAGAGCTGTAAACAGCCTTTACATTGGGGCCATGTGTTACCTAAATAGCAAAAGTGCTAATTTATTCTGCATACCCACCACTCATGGACCAGAACTTCCTCTTCAGGATTAAAAAGAAAAAGTACAGTGGTAATAAAGCATATATTATGGTACTAGACATGTGTAGCCTCACAAACTACATATAAGTCAAAATATTAACATTAACTAATGTTAATTCAGTAAGACCCTTATATGCAAAACATTGAAATCTGAGTAAACTGAAATGGTGATTTGATTTTGTGTCCATACGTGTAAGAAAGTGTGACCATGAAGGGGTCCAGTGCCTTCCATGTTATGCAGGGAGGAACTGAAGTACATTTGTTCGTAATACTGTTATAAAGTTTACTTCTGGGGTATATCATGTATTTTCTGTCCTTTTAAAAGATGTGCTGTTCAGTATTACTATGTCCGATCAGAGAACTCATGATACACAACATTTTCATAATTGGGAAATGTTAACACATTACATTCCTTGCTTTGAAACATGAAAGAACTAATCAAAGACAACACCTTTTCATTTTCCTTTGACCAGTGAGGCAATGTAAATGATGTGGTTTGCATGCAACACCACTTTGGGGCCCTAGAAACCTCTGCATTATCCATCTGCATATATTTGTGTGTTCACACCCCTGGCTTTCTTCCTCTTGGCATAATTTTGTATTTGCATGAGATTTCATAATTGTTTTGCATGAAAAATCATCTGTAATGTTAAAGAATAGTGTCTAACACCCCCTGTGATATCACATGCCATTAATTCTCACATAATATTTTTCTTTTACTTTCAGTTACTGGAGTTTAAATATGCTTGAAATGTAAAAGTGGCATGACACTGGAGTGATGCAACAACATGTAATTGTAATGTTCCTCTAAGGGAAACACAGGGCACTTCCCAGATATGATAAAACTCTGTTAAACACAGGTGCTGTCTGCAGACCTAAGCTCCAAGAATGTAGCACTCTAATATGAGATATCAAACTTTTCCTGATCTGGCGTAAAATTTAGCTCCATGTTTCCTGAATGAACTTGATAGAGGAGCACAAGTATGCAAAGTAAATGCCTTATTTGCACCAATTATTTTTGTCAAGCTTCTAATTAATATGGGCATAAGGCTAAGTCTCATGAATGGGACAAAATGCTTACCTCTCAATCAACAAGTACTCATTTCCTCCAAACTGTCACTTCTCTGGATCCACAGTTCTTCCTGCCAGTGGCCAATGCTAACCCTGGGTTAGAGTACCCCTTTTCATATTACCATTGGCAATTCAATTTAAAACCTGTGCAAGCAAGTAAGAAACCCTGGACCATGGAGATGTTTTTCTATGAAATTAATAAGACTTGAATGGTCCCATTTCACCAAGAACAACCCATAAAATACTTATTAATAGCCATCATGCAAATAATTGGATTTTCTTTAAAAATCTACAAACAGGCATGTGCTAGGGTAATTGCATTCTAATAACTAAAATATATATGTTATTTTTAATCCAGCTCCATAGATGGCTTCTGCCTTAAAGGTATTCATCCTAATGTTCCACCTCTACCAAAATGTAGATGGGTGACTGTCATTTCTCCCATGCTTGGGGGATTACCAAGTAAATACCACATTAGCAGCTTCTGGGTGAGTACTTGCTGACTGTCACCAATGAAATCTGTGACACTGATATTGGCCTCAACCTCTCTGTGCTTCTCCAGCTAGTCCATAATGAGGATGTGAGGCTAAATTATCTTTTGAATTAAAATGTTACACTATAATTATCATGTGTCATAAATCCACAAGACTTCTTATACAATTTTAATTAAATCCAAGCTGAAATAATTCAACTTCAAGACTGCTAGACAATGAGGCAAAAGAAACCTACTTTTTTACAGTCATATTATGCCAGACAGTAATAAAATGAGAATTGTATAGTACTTCGTGTGGATATTGCCTCGTGTGATCTCAACACCTAAGAAATGTGTTGATTTGTAGATGAAGATTCCAAACTTCAGAGAGATCCAATTACTTGTCAAAAGGTGATTGACAAACTGTAGAACCTGAATAAAGCCTGGATCTTCCACTCTACAACATACCCTCTGTCACCATTTAGCTGCAAGGAGTGTTCTGACTGTAAAACCATTTTCCCAAGGCACCATTGTCAAGAGTTGGCACTCCTTGAGAATAGAGTCTGCCTTTAGAACCCTTCAGCACCTCTGTTGAGTGTCCACTTGCGTCACTACAGCTTTCTGTGCTTTTACAAACTAGTTGTTCTGTCAGCATGAGTGTGACAACAATTAGACGCCCCCTGTTTTTGCCCCATGCCTTTTTTCCTTCACAGTCATTCAATGACAAGCGTAAAAAGAGCTTCATCTTTTCACGAAAATTCCCATTCTACAAGAACAAGGAGCAGAGTGAGCAGGAAACCAGTGATCCTGAACGTAAGTAGATTCTAAAGATAATGTCACATGCAACACAAGAAAAAAAATCTTCACGGGCAACACTCATGACAGGCTGTCCCACTCCATACACCAAGGCAAACAACATGGCAGGCAGGCAGGGCAGGTTTTACTACTGTGACCAGTGTTTGACTGCAGTCTGGATCCTTCCTTTCCTGGGGCTATGTTTTACAGAAAGGGCCTTGACAAAGCTGGGGCTTCAATTCCAACCAGCATTTCTCTGTGACCAGGAACAGGTCAGGTATGATCATGCAACTCCCTAAGGCTTGAGGAAAAAATTCCTTTCTGTTCAGACATATTGGATTACATTGCCACATATATATTTTGTTTTGGATGCCAGCTTATTAGAAGTAATTCAGTGACTTTCATTGAGTATTGGTGCATTGCTTCACTCTTACCCTCCAAGAAGCCATTAAATATATGCTGAGAAGGGAGCTTGTAGTGGTGGATGCAGAATTTGTGATGAAATTTGGAGTGGGGACATTCTTTGACAGTGAAAAAAAAATTACACTCACTGAATCTTTATATTCCCCACAATCTCTGGCTTCAACCTTTTGAGGGTTTATAAATCAAAATTTTCCTTTTATGACTCAGCTCAGGGAGTTTGGGATGAAAGTTATTTCAAAATGAAAGACAGTGGGATCCAGATTGCTTGGGCAACACGGTCTGTCATGGTAGTATCCATTTCAACTCCACTGACCTCTACCTTCCTCTTCCGTGGCTGTTCTTCCTCTCCCATTGCTCTCTCTGGGGACTTCCATGCAGGACATCCCCGGATTAGGTGACGACGGTTATGGAACAAAGACTCTGAGTAAGTTTCCAGGAATGGTCACTGTTAACTTTTCTTTTCCTTTCCTTTTGAGTTTGGCTTTTGTTCCTTTTCTTGAGGGCCTTTCATTCCTAGCATGCACACGATACGAGTTTGATTTGTTACCTAGCTGTGAATGCTCCTATAAAATAATTTTCGGCCATTTTGTTCTGCATGTCGGCATTTAAAAGCGAAATGTGTCAGGCAGTGTAACTCCTGCTGTGGGCAACACCTCAACACCTCCCCCTTTCTGGCCATGTGACAATGGCCAACATGGTCTGGATGTCTATCTTGCATCCATCATTTGCTCAGCCACCAACTTCCTCTCAGAGCAAAAGACGATGTTGCAAAGAAAGGGTGAGCGAAGTGTTCTAGAATGGCAAAGTAGAACTATCCTTTACGTTCTTTCTTCTGCCTTTTCAACATGGAAAGATATAACGACCTTGCCCAACTCTATAATTGAGCTATACTTCACTGTTAATAAAGGAGCTGTTTTGTAGCCAAAAGCAACATGCATTCCCAAAAAGTAAATATTGAGCTATCTGAGCCTTAATTCTTTGTTATTAACTTTGACTGATTTTTTTTCTCTGACTTGCAGTGGTCCTTCTTGAACCGTTTGTATGATAATTTAGATACATATTAATACCCTTTGTTGATTTGAGTTACCAGCTGCATTATGTTGTCAGGGGTTCATCTTGTAGTACAGAATGAAAAATAAGATATATTAGACCTTTACATTTTCTACTTATTCATGTCTTTGGTCTATGTCTCATTGCACTTAGCAATTAAAAACAAGTATCTGTGTCTCAAAATCCTATGCTATGATTTTGCTTTCTTTAATTCTAAATCCACTCTAGAAGCACCAATGTTGTATCTTTTATAAATGTATCACATATTCAGTTTTGTTTTGCTTACTTTAATGTAATAGCTACAGGAGGTATTTTCAGTTGTTCATTTAATAAAGCAAAATACCATTGAGCTGGATTTCACATTCAAGGGCTGTTTTCACAAGCCTGCGTGTGTGCTGATGCCTGCCTTTCAGGGTTCGAGTGTTGACTCTCAGTGGCCTGTTTAAGATATGTAGCTGGAGAAAACAAAATTGTTTAAGTGCTGCTCTCCTTAAAGATGAAAACTTTATCTTTGAAAATTTTATGGAGTGTGGTATGAGATTTGACCACAGATTTCAGCATCATCTGGATGGCACCAAGCACTATCTGGAGGAATTTATACAATTTCCATTTGGAAAGGGAAAGTGATTGTTTTAGACTAATAGTAAACATAATTTTAAAAGTATGTAATGCCCTGTTGAATCCAGAATGTCTAGAATAGAAGTTTGCTTACTCTTTAAAAACTGAACAGATTTAATTAGTGAATTAAAAGTAGGTATGAAAGGAATAGCCACGAAGATGCCCTGCAATACAGGGTTCCATCTTCCCTGTCTACTCGGTGACAGAAAGCAGACTTTCATGGGTTCATCTACCCCGTCACCATGAGTCTTTGAACTGTTAAATCTGTGCCCAGATTAACAGCACAACTCCAGCCATAAAGCCACACAGAGACAAATGGTTTGAAATCAGTAATTGCTTTGGTTTTCATTAGTTTTATACTACAGAATCAATCCCCTCAGCAAGCCAAGGGAAAAAAAAGTATATGTCAAAGTATTTTAAAGCACTTATTTTTCTGTTAGAGGATAGATAATGTGCTCTTTTTCCTCTTATTTAAGTCTTGAAAGAGCTGAGTAGTCACATATATATCATTTTAGTGCAGTGATACATGAAGAAGTTGATAAGTTGTATGTGACCAACTCATCAACTGAATATTACACATATCTCTGCTGTTAGCTGAGACCTTCAGGATGAATTAAACATAATTCATGCCAGATCCCACACCTGGCATCAGGCTATTTATCTTCTTCTGCCTGCTCTATTCTCCCAGAATTTAATAACTATTCAAGCAAGGATTATAGAATAAAAACTAAGTCATGAAATATTTCTCAGGGACTGATTGCTTCCTCCCATATTTTCTACTCACTGAAGCAGGAAAGAGCTTTAAGAATCCCTGTTAGACCAGAGGATTTGCTTGCAAAGTATTTAAATGGAAAAATCAAAGGGACTCCAGGGATCAGTTGGCAAATGCAGTCTCCCTTCAAAATAAGAAGGGCTAAAATAGATACAGAAAATCGCCTACACGACAGTGGATACACACTGTCCTTCACAACACCAGTCTGGAAAATCAGAACTCTATGGATATGTCACTTGTAGAAAGAACTCTACCTAGGCTGCCATTGTTTGCTGTTTGATAATTAAAGGTTCTTTTCTTATTTGCTGAAAGGAAGAAACAGCAGTATTGTGCAAACTGGCAATAAAGTTTTCATCTTTGTCTTATCTGGGTTCTCTTGGTGCGATTCTTCTGCAGCCTTTCACTTGCCCTTTGCTCACATTTCCAATAGCTTTGCATGGGTGTGTCCTTTCAGTTCTGGCTGCTCTCTGATGCTTGATCCTTCTTTAATTTGCTGTGCTGTCCTTGCAGAACACGTCTCTTCTAATGCCAGCGATAGCGAAAGTAGCTGCCGTAAGTTACTGCTTGGGCTTGTGGTTTTTTTCTTTGCAGTTGCCCCCATTGCCTGTGATAGTCATTTCGGAATCTTTTCAACTGCTGCCTTTTTTTTTTTTTTTTTTTTTTTTTTTTTTTTTTTCCCCCTTTTGGTCATCCTTCTCCAAAGCAAATGGCTTGAAATGAAATCAGCATTTGATGTGGAAAGATACAAATGACACAGGGGCCATCAATGGACCCTAACATAATTTGTGCATGCAGGCACAGATTTTTCAGATACCAATTTGAAGTTCAGCTGCTTGTAACCCCATGATGGAAGATTTTGACATTCTATTCCCAAAATCAATTTAACCTCCCTATAGGAAGGGAGAAGGTCATGATTCTATTATCCTCATTGGCCGTTTTCCTTCTGCTCCTGGAGCTGAAGCATCTCTAACTTACAGTGTTTCCTTTAAATCAGGTGTCTTTTGTATCACTTTCTCCTTTACTAATATTTTAAGACACATAGCATATCCATGTGTCTAACACTATTTGGGGGATGGTTGGGAAATTGATGAAAACACTTCATCTAATGCTGAAAGAATTTTCAAAACTTTTTAGGTCACAAAACATAACTGAAAAGGTAGGTAACTAGTTTAAAAAATGTTCTCTGTCTTTGGTAAACCCAAGCCATTTGCTTAGTGTGTGGAAATATTCACCAAACAATAAGCACAGCCTTCTAATCACCTCTCACGGTTTTTTGCTTCCTACTTGCTGGTGTTTGGTGACTAATAGAGGTACCTATTACCTCTGGGTCTTTATGATGTCTTTACTATCGATTTACACTGCTTAACAAAAGGGGCTACCCCAAAAATAATTGTCAAGGTGTCAGAAAACTGCAGGCCCAATACATGGTCCACATAAATAAACACCAATGCAGAGATTGGTATTGTCTTTTGCTTGACTATTAATTGTAAAGTAAAATTGTTTTGGACATACTTGTCCTACCCCATTTATGTATGGTGCTTTATAAAAATCATGCCATTTGAAGCAGAGTGCCAATTAGTAAGTATAACCTGGAGTAGAAAACACACACACACCAGAGAAGGGTGTCAGGTAATGGTGAGAAACAGAAAAGGAAGATGACACAGACCAAAGACTGAATGACAAAATTGTGATAATGTTGAGAATGTTGAGGTTACATAATTGTCAAATTGATAGTGTTATTAAGAGAGAAATTTCCATCGAATCTCACTGATGGAAGGATCCAGAGTTCTTGTGTTCAACCTGGTTGTACTCTTCCTACTTTTATGGTTAACCCAACAGTAGGAGAAAAAAAAAGATTGTCATGTGGTTTTCAATTCAGAACCAGTAAAGAAGGAAGGGCCAAAGCTTACCTTTCTAACTCCATGAGCCACCCTTGATGTTTCACGAGGTGAAATGTGAAGAACTTGTTTGGTCCTCATGAAGACGATGACACTAATTTCTTTAGTTTTCAGTTTTCAAGGACTTTGCTCCCCTCCAGTAGACAGAGCTATAAAAAAGGAAAATGGATGTTTTATTCTTCAGTCCTCTTCATGGACTGAACTACCTTCTTTGGAAATCACATTTCTGAAATATTTTTTCCAGAACCACTAAGTGACAGAATTTAAGCCACAGCTTTGAGCTGTCAGAGTGATGTGCCATGATGACACCAATCATTCTTTCCCCTCCCAAATAGTAACCGCACACAAGAATTTACCCAGGTAATGGAGGAAACAATTGCACACACCATGAATTACCTATGAGAAGAGGGGGACTTGGAGCTGGAGTCATGATGTTAGTAAAGCAGATGTTAAATCATTCATTTGGGGTCTCGGATTATAGGGGTCAGGCATGCAAGATTTCCTCCAAAGCTAAGAAGAATGTTGACTGATTCATTTGGTGGCTTCTACATGCAAGGTCCCATTTCTCCATGCTATAAAACCCCGTATGAAAATTGATCAAGCTGGATCTTACTGCACATGTACTTGGAAAGAGAGCTTAATAAATGGACAATCTGACTCCAGCACAGCAGGTGCATCCACGATACTTCCAGACAGAAAAATGACCTGTGTGTTAAGCTTTGGAAAGCAGATCACATGTCAAGGGGGACAAAGGAACTTTCTGTGAGGGGCAGTCTTACACCAAAATGGCAGAGCCATGGCCGAGACATGTGTTCCAGAAAGAGGCAACTTTGATATCAAAATAGGCTGTATTTTTTTTCTAACGAATTTCTGGCTTTTGCTATAATTGAGACTAATTTTATGTCTTATGAATAGCAGTACAAACAAACACAAAAAGACTCTTTGCCACTTTGAAAATGTTGCCTATTCAATCTGGAGACAGGGTGGCTTTATAAGATGTGGATGGTACAAAATAATTCAAAGGCTAATGTGCCACTCAGTGCACAAAGCACCATTCATGCTGCATTCCAGAGACACACAGCCTTACACATGCATGTTCACAAGCCTCCACTTCTATGACATAATTTGGACATCTGCTATGTCACATCAAGCATTGCAAAATAACTTTCTCAAGTCCTACTATGTTGAGTAGCATCTAAAAATGTAATTACTTAACATGTATATTGCCTAATTATACAAAATACCACTTCAAAACCTTAGTTAATGAATAGTTTCTTATTTCCTTCCACCAATAAAGTAGTCAAGTTAAGGCTCATGTTTTTGGCCCTCCTGTATAGACCTTCCAATTGCCCTTGTATTGGGAGGTAATAAGTATCAAACAGGTATTAGCAGGACCAGGCCAACCTCCAGAGCTGATGACTTGCTGTCTCAAAACTCCATCAAGCTCTTTACACATGATGGTTGCATGGGAGTTGACAATTATCAGTTAAGTTAGAATTTTCCAAATAAGGATCTTGGAGGAAAAAAAAATGAGCTGAGTGTGTAGTCTCTGAGATGAGGAGACCTAAGACTCTCCTGAAAGTTAGTAATTGTGGCTCCCATACTTTCTATCCCACTCCACTTTTCACAAGTATTGCTCATGGCTGCATCTAATTCTTTCATTGTAATTATCCATTTTACTTTTGCAATCATGATAGTATTGCTGTGCATAGGAGACAGCCAGATCTGTAAGAGGCTGCATGCCTCATTCAGTGTAGCCTTGAACCTGCAATTGAGACCTTGTGATTCTGGCTCTCAGGCAAGCTTTCCTCCACTCCATGGTTTATAAACCCAGCCTTTAGTTGTTTAATTCTGAACCACTGATCAGATTATCAAGACTAAAACTAGCTGGTCAGTGATTAATCCAGCTCTCAAGAGGCAGAAGCAGACATATCTCTGTGATTCAAAAAGCCAACCTGGTCTAGAGTGAGTTCTAGAACAGCCAAGGGTACACAGTGAAACCCTGTCTCGGGAAAGTTGTTAAGGGCCTTCTGGTGGTTATGTAATTTAATCTTCTGACTATCCTGCGGAGATACTGAGCTAACAAACAGATTTAAATCAAGATGCCAAGTGTAACCAATTGGAAGTAACTGCTTGAAGAACTGTATGGAGGAGCTGGAGAGATGGCTCAGCAGTTAAGAACACTGGCTAGTCTTCCAGAAGACCTGAGTTTCACAACTGTCTAACTCCAGTTCCAAGAGGATCCAATGCCCTCTTCTGGCCTCTACAGGCACCAAGCATGCAAGGATGCACAGACATACAGACTAATAAAAGAAGAAAAATTAAGAAATATACATAAACGGCTTGTTGTGGCCACACTGCAGCTCATCAGAACTCCAGGCAGTGACTACTCTATAATTTCCATTGAGAACATAGAACACCACCATGTCCTCCATAACCACCATCTACCAGGCATAGTCTAACCCGTCCCCATGCTAATGTTCTTTGGTCCTGCGAAGCAGATGGATTCTTAATAGCCATAAGGTGCAGAGCCCTAAGAACTAAATTTAGAACATTAAATACAATGTTACTAGCACCAGCCCCCACTCCCCTCCTGCCTCTTTTGTTTGTTCTCTTTCCTGAAGGCACACTGGGGTCTCACTCTAACCACATCTCACTGACTGGCTCCCTGATTCACACACCCAGTGTTGTGTCGAGTCTGTTAAAAAACAACTGTGCCAAATGTCTGGCAGCTGCAAACCCCACAGCATGTGCTGCTTGCCCACTGCCAGCCACAAAGTTGCCAAAACAAGACAGAATAGTTTGGCACTTAGAATAACAGCTGGCAAAAGGTACAAACTCTTGTGAGGAAAGAAAAAAGTAACTACTAAGGGTGACTATGCAGATGGTATAGCAACAGAGAGCAAGAGAAAATGGAAAAGCTGGTGTTTATACATAGACCTCTTGGCCATCCTGCCCTCTTCTGACCCATACCCTTTGTTCACAGCAAGCTCCGGTGAGCCTTAGAGAGAAGCCTACATCCCTGGTCCTCCTGAGATAGTATGGTAAAGGCAACAGAGAAGAACAATTGTGGGTTTAAATGGCTCTGCTACTTACTAGCTAAGCAAATGAGCCTCATCAAATTCTCTGAACCTCAGCTCCATCTATAAAATGGGTCACCAGAGTACCAACTACCCAAGAAATTCTCTGAAAAAAAGAAGCCAGTAGACAGGAAGGAAAGCCCCATGTGTCCTGCAGAATGACATAAAGATACGGATTTTTCCTCTTTGTTGTTGCTACAGAATTGTTCCCTTTCCACTCTTTTGTTTTTTAACTTGAGCATAAAATATGGAATCCATAGCTCTTAGATAACTTCAGCTTTCCTGTCTTCTCCAGCAGCTTCCATTCTTGCACAGGGCCATAAGAATTGGGATGCATAAAGGATACCACATTACATCACTACCTGCCTGTTCTACTGCTGTGAATGAAAAGCAGTTCTGTGAGAGACATACCAAAAAGCAATGGACAAACAATTCTCTCATCAAAGCTGGCTTTTGCTGGTTTTCAAAACCACAAATGATCTAGACTGACATCAGATGTCTTATTTAAGATTTTCATTTGGAAGATCCCATTGGGGTGATCTGCAAGATGACTGGAAAGAGATTCAAATAGAAGCATGACGTGTTGTATTTATTTAGAGGAAACTGTATTTCCCAAAGGAAATGATCCTATTCACAGACACGCAGAATGGAACCTTCTTTGAGCTCATTACTCATCTTGTTTTTCACAACGGAAATCATGGTGTGAGTTCTATAACATCTTACAACACTGTGAAGTTACAGTGGATGGAGCTTTGTCTCCATGAATTGGCCAGTGGAAAGGGCAGACTGTGACAACTATCACCTGACACCTGAAGCTTTGTCTCACTATGGGGATTCTCCTTTCATATTATTTTACCAAGCCTTCCCTATAAAGCCATAGTCTAACATTGCTAACATTAGTGAACCATGCTACTATCCCTCAAGCTCTTTCTCCACAACTTCTACCCACCCACTTTGTATCTCCAGATCAGATGACTAAAGCTTAGCAGCAGTCACTTAAAAAAAAAAAATCTAAAATCTGATTTTGTGTAGTTTAATTAATCCACAGGGAATCATTCTTTCCCCAAATACACAAAATTCTCAATCATCCCACCACACAAATCCCCTTCTCACACATAAGGATGCCTCCTTAAGCCCTTCTAGGACATCTGCGGACAGGTGCCATTTAGGAAAGATGCCAAGTCTGATCCTTCAGGATATAGGGTGGCCTCAAAGTGCCAACACCAACAGCAAGTCCTCTTTTGAGGTAGATGAAAAACAATTTAAGTTGGCAGCCATTTCTTACACTTGAAAATGTAAGAAAACCACATTTGCCCCTGCAACTACAAGGCTCTATAGAAGGTCTATGTACTCTACAATTACAAACATAGAAGAACTACCTGAATCAACTGCAGTTATTAAAACCATCTGTGTAGTTACCACATTTTATGAAAGCAACTCACTTTCCCCTGGCTGGAGCTATGAAAGAGAAACTGGTATTGCATACTATATATGTTTTAGACAGACAGCCCATAGACTTTATAGTATATATAGTATAGTATAGTATAGTATAGTATAGTATAGTATAGTATAGTATAGAGAGCAATGAGGTTCACTGTCTTTTGGCCTTGGAAAAGACCACCCCCATCCCTTTCCTCCTCAAATGTCCCCTTTAGCAGATACTGATCTGTTTTCAATATCCCTAATCTAGTCTCACACCAAAAGTTAACCAACACTAAACCCAATGCAAATATAGGAGCAGAATCTTTGGGATTTGCAGCTGAACTGAGACAACTCCATGACCACCTAGTTGATCAGTGTATAAATTTCATTTAAAACTGATTGCCAAAGTTGAACTTGCTCTCCACAGCAGTGTGTTGACTCAAGGCCCACCCAGAAGCAGAGGACATGTAACAAATGCATTGGGAGATGCTGGCATTTTTACAGCATTGCTTCCCTTAGTTCTCATTCTGGAGGTTCAAGGCATGAGTTAGCAGCAATCTTAAGCAATAGCCTCGGACAGACGTCTCAACCTGGAGTGGGGACCAGGGCTTGAAGGCAGGGACTTCCACATGTTGAACACATGCTGTGCCCCACAGCTATAACCCCATGTCCTCAGTTTGAATCGAATTTAACTGAACAGCAACAGATTTCTGATGATGACTCAGTATTAGACTAAAACCTCTGTCATAATATTCTAACAAAGTTTCTATGTCATAAAATAAATAGGCACTTGCTTTTGGACCACACACTTAGGAAAATAAAGTAAGTGATGAAACAAAAGTATCAGAAATTCTGATGAGGTAGCGTGAAATCACTGGATAGACCCTTTCCCAAATGACTTTATTTGGGATGCTCGGTGTGAAGGCATGGCACTCCATGTAAGATAAAAAAGCACTCTCCCAGGTCACTGCCCCACCACAGAGATCTGGTATGACTGCAATAACCAGACACTAGAGCTTTATGAGGATGGAGGATTTTTTTTTTAATGGTTCAAGGAGAGAATGCAAGGAAAATTAACCCTCAACTATATGTTTCCTGGTTATAACTTAATTTTCCTCTCTCTTCTTCTCAGGAGGACAAGAAGATCTCATTCTCTCCTATGAACCCGTCACAAGGCAGGAAAGTAAGTCTCCAGGCATGCCCAAGTTCCTGATTCCCAGGCTATGACAGATGACACCAAACTCAGTTAATACTCAGGTGTGCCAGACCTAGGCTCAGTAACAGCTCTCAGGAGGGCAGAACAGTCCTTGAGAGACATGACCCCAATAAGACCTCAGGCCTGAGCTGGAGGGCTAATGGAGAACAGCTCCAGGAAAGCTGATGCCAGCCCAGTTTTGAAAAGGACCTCAGAGGCAAGCCATGTGCAGACTGCTCCAGGAGTCCGAGTTTCTGCAGATATGTATAAAGTGGCTGGTGGTGGCTGACAGAGAAGTTGCACAGAAAATTGAAGCATCAGATGAGAAGATGCATCAAATAGACTTAAATATGTTCTAAAGTACTTAGGGATCAGGAAGCCCCCAATCAGAGTACAGATAGTATTCTGAGTGGAGGAAAAGAAAGCACAGATGCGTGAGGTGTCACTGCTACTGACAATGGCTTTAAACAATGGTTGAAAAGATGGTTGGGGTGTTTTTCTCCAAAGCTCCCAAAATCTGGGTGTTTTGACATGGGGAAGTAAAGCCTGAGAAGCAGAGCTCCTCCTCCATTTCATTGGTAGCTGCTACAGTTGCTCTATTCCCTGATAGTAAATTCCAGATAGCAGCAGAGGCAGCATCCTGAGGGCTGAACATCCATGTCTGTATGCAGGGTTTTATGGGTTATTTATCCCCAAGCAAGGAAGGCCTTAGCACTCCTTAACTGTTGGCAGTCTGCCCTGAAGAATCACCTCTGCGGCAGTACAGGGCAATATCCACCCTGTGGGGTTTGAAGTCCCCCCTTAATGGCATCTTCCTTTCCTTCCTGCAGTCAACTATACCCGGCCAGTGATTATCCTGGGCCCCATGAAGGATCGAATCAATGACGACTTGATATCTGAATTTCCTGATAAGTTTGGCTCCTGTGTGCCTCGTAAGTATTGTTTTTCTTTTCTTTGGGCCAAAGCTTGAATCCTTGATGGATAATCAAGTGTAATCCTGAATCTTCAAAAAGAGTTGCTAGTGTAATTCTAATGTTATCAGTTACCTACTATCTGGACACCAATTTAGGGTATCTGCCTGACACTTTTGATCTGGGCTGCCACGTATTGTTTTCTACTGATAAGGAGTGACCTTCATCCCCAGAAGATAGCAAGGCCTTCTAGAATCTCCCAGAGCACGTAAGACAACATGCTATTTATAAGTCTCAGTGGCTTCTTCTAGACTGATTGAAATACCACTGTAGCATCTTTATCTATAGACCAGATACAATCAGAAGCAAAGTCTCACATTGAAATCATCTTTGGATGACTTAGTCCAGTGTGTCAGTCCTCAAGCCAAGCAGTCTTTCCTTGTATTTTGATAGTCCTGGGTTATCAGAAGATTGTGTGTGTGTTCTATCCTATAGGCCTTTATAGATTTCAAGCTTTGAGATTATAAACAATTAAATTTCCAAGTCCCTTTAAACACAGCCTGTAATAATATGTCTGTCGGTTCTCAAAGCTACCACTACCACACCTCTGCTTTCCAGCTTGCACAAAAACTGCCTGTGAATAGAGATGAGGCCATTAGGAAATCTGAATTCTTAGAGGCTCTTACATCCAATCCCAACAAATAGCTCTGCTCTATGGACTTGTTGTTTTAGATTTATAATTTCAACTGTCCCAAACATTTTAGTACTAAAAATTCACCGAGGGTCATAAAGAAAAGAAGGAATTATGTGTATGCAGCACACAGACAAAAAGAGGTCCAGGAAGGTTGCTGGACCTCAAGAAAGGGTTCCCAGCAGGGACTCAGGGAAGAGGCAGAACAGCTCCAAACAGCTCCTAAGAATGTCTTTAGGTGGGGAGGGGCAAAGAAAGACCTGGCTTGTTCACAGCATCTGCCATTTGAAAGAAGGAAATCAGAACTTTAAATATTACTGCAACTTGCCCTTCTACTTTGTGCTTACTCCCCTTTCTTTTTCTGTTTTTCTTTTTTTTTTTTTTTTTTCATTACTAGCTCTGTTCTATGGGAATAAGTACATACTGATTATACAGGGTTTGGAAAGTTTTAAAAATTAAAAAGTTAGCCAAGGAATTGAGAAGTATATTGAATCCCATATAATATCTAGAAACAAAATCACTCCTCCTTCCAATACATTCTTCATATGCTTAAATCTTAAGCCTAATTTGTTAAATAACAATTTAAAATAACTATATTCACAAAAAAACATAGATATTTTTTATTTCCCCTCCGTTATATAATTTTGTGTTATAAATTACTATATTTAATATATTTGGGAATAAATTTATCTTAACTTTTGATCAATTTTAAGACAAATATTTAGGGGAAAATACCTGATTCCAAGATTGGATATGGGTAAAAATTTTTTAACTTGTATAACTAGATTGTTTTCCTTTTGTCTTCCTAACAAAACATTAACATACAGTTGTTAACTTTGCTGACTTGATTCTCCGACTTTAAGTACCTAAACATATTCATAATGATATGCCCATTTTTCCTAATTATTATGGCACATATGGAGAAATATGATCTATTTCTCCATAACCTATTTTGTTCTGTGTGTGCTATATATGTTGAGCAGTGGTTATTTGAGGACAGGATCTCACTATGTAATCTGTACTGGCCTGGAACTCATGACCTTCCTGATGCTGAATCCTGAGTGCTAGAATTACACATGTGCAGACTCACTAACACTCAGGTGTAGTGCCATATTGTTGAATCTGGATTTTGTTATCTTTCTTTACAGAATATTTCCTTTTTATAAAGCAATAATGTATTTGTTGTGTTTGTAACTTGGTTTTAGACTTTTGAAGGCAGGTCTCAAGTCAGCCTAAAAGAGCCTTCTAGGTGGGGCTAGATGTGTGGCTTTATCTACCACCCCAAATGCCCAATTTTATATGAACGACAATGTCTTCTAACACTGAGTTATCTCTGGACTCTTCACTTAGAACCAGCATCAAGGCAGATAGGAACGATAAATATAGACTTTTTTTCCTCACGTTTCTCATCTATTGTAATTATATCCATGCCTTATCCATTGTCTGGTACCTGAAACAAGTTATTTCTTGTATTTTGTCCTGTTTTATCATTGCTTATAGGAGATGGTAAGCCTGGCATTCATTACTGTGTCATGGCCCATTATATTGTCTGTGACACATATCTACGTATCTGTGTTGAAGGAATAGTGGGGAAAAAATCAGATGGAAAAGAAGTTTAAAATTATCAATGCATCTTACTTTGACTGTTTCTTCTTTTATAGATACTACGAGGCCAAAGCGTGACTATGAAGTTGATGGCAGGGACTATCATTTTGTCATTTCTAGAGAACAAATGGAGAAAGATATCCAAGAGCACAAATTTATAGAAGCTGGCCAGTACAATGACAATTTATATGGAACCAGTGTGCAGTCTGTGAGATTTGTAGCAGAAAGGGTACGTTTGTCAGTCCTCTTACAAGTCCCTAAAGGTTTCTAGTAGCAAACTTTTCTTGGCCATTGCTCTTTCCTGATTGCTAATTAATATCCAGAGGTGGAATTGCCCTAAGACCATGTCATTGTATTGTGACTGACTTGTGGATGAAGGGAAGAGAGGAGACCCACTAACCCAGACAGCACACACCGTTTAAGGGGACTTGGTTTGTTTTGGCTCACTGTCTGACCCAGGTTAATAAGACTGAATTCATTAAGGGAGCTTTGCTAATATTAGTTGCCTAGAGAAGTTGAGTTTTTCTCTCTCTGAAAACTTAACATTTTCATGGTGAAAGGGAGATGCATGGGATAATGGTCCAGCCTATTGCTGCCAGAAATTTTGACTTAGAAAAGGCACTAATGCCAAAATTCTCTTCCTGACACCATCAGAAGAAGGGAGAATAGGAAAACACTTTACTGTGGCTTTAAGATCTGCCCCATAGATAGATCCTATGAAAGCATGCAGATAATCCAGGGGAGGAAAACAGTTGTCTGTCTGACTCAGTGTGGTCCCTCCTTTTGATAAAGTGATGAATTAAACAACTCAGCTCCTCCACAAGGACCCAAAGTAACAGGTATAGAGTGGGGTAGGTAAGCTGGAAATGAGACAGACAGAGAAAGAACCATACATCCATGCATGCACAGACCTGGAACAATAGCATGAATCAAAAACAAACATCTTGGCAACATCACCTCCAAAACCAGGGGTAGATGTGTCCCCTCCTGGCAGGAGTAAAAGTTAAAAAGATCTTCTCAGAAAATGTAGATGCTGGCAACTCTCCTATAGGAAAATTCCACTTGGATGAATAGCCTGAAATGTATACAGCAGCCTTGTTTTGGAAAAGAATTTCACATCTGTCCCCAGAAGGCATCCAACATGCCAGACCCAGGAGCCACTTAGAGAACAGAGCTACTATCTGGATTTGGACTCCCTAGGGGTCAGAAAATCTTGCATTTTCCTTTCTTTAAACCGACATTCATTCTACTTTACTGATTTGGAGGAGGCTAGCTTGTGAAGTCAGCTTAACCCAGAAGAGTGGCTGTGACCTAAGCCTCTTGAATAACCTGCACCATAAGGGATGTGTGTTGAAACAGACAGGAAAGAGAAAGATGCCCTTATTATTAGGTGTGCTATATCATGTGTGGCTTCATGCTAGTTCTAGGACTGAAGGTAGGCACAAAGTGGTGCCTGGGAAATTTTGAAATGCTGTCACATTGACCAAGAGAGAGGCACAAAAAAGAAAAAAAAAAAAACTGCCTGGATATATTCATGCCCCACTCATCATCCTCATTCCAGGACAGGCACCAGAGCTGAAAGAGTAAGATGACAACAAAAACCCCAGATGTCACATCACCAACAACTGTTTTCTCAAGAGGAGCTTTGGCTAACACTGGCTAAGGTCCTGCTCCTGGACAGACACCTTCACTTAAACAGAAGCAAAGAGCATCATGATTCCTGCTACTGTGCTCACACCGTCACACTGCCACCCCCGCTCTGCTATCCCCTCTCCCCATGTAGTACCTGGGCTCATACCACTGGTCAGAGGGAAAACACTTTAGAACCTCATCACCACGGAGGCCACTGGTATAGCAGATCAACTGTGCAAGAGGAAACACCTACTGTTTACCAGGCAAAAACCATCTCAAAAAGCTGTAGCTGATAGCCTCCACAGCCAATTAGTTCAAATGAGTTCAAGTTATATGAACAGCAAGACAGTTTTTTTTTTTAAAATAGTACAGTCAAACAAAACAAAATACAATGACAAGAGTATCAAAGATCTACAGAGCCATTAAATGAACAAATATCCCAATTTCAAAAGTATATAAGATGGAGAGAAAAGAATTTCAGGGCACAGAAGAAAGCTGTGTAGACATAAAAGACTGGGTAGCTTACAGGCCCTGAAATAAATATAACCAAAATGCAATCTTTACCACAGAATATTGAACACAAGATACCAAAGGTAAAGCCAGACATTGTTGGCTCATGACTAATCCCAGCACTTGGGAGCCAGAGGCAAATGGATCTCTATGAGTTCAAGCCTAGCCTGCTCTGCATCACTAATTCTAGAACAGCCAAAGCTACACAAAGAAACCTTGCCTCATCAAAACAAAACATCTACAGTGTAAGAGGGAACACAGTAAGATAGCCTAGGCCTAGAGAAAAAAGATAAAAATAAGCCCTCTACCTACCAAGATTAGCCAGCAAGACAGGAAACACTGAAGTCTTCATCACCATTAGACTAGCCTCACAGAAGCTTATAAAAGAAAAAACAAAACTGAAGAAAAGAGATACTGAAAGTTCGAGAACAGCCTGTGCTATAAAGTAAGACACTACATGGGGAGGGGCCAGTTAAGGAGAGACAAGAAACATCTCAATAAAGATACAAAAAATACTGAAAGAGATTCTTTCTTCAATATTGATTAGGCTTGGTACCTTCACACAGAATTCTAAAACCTTATCTCATCCCATACAAACCAACCCTCTCAGAGTGGGTAATGAGCCTAAATATAAGACCAGAAATTCTTCAACTGCTAGGGGAAAATGGCAGGGAAACTTCAAGACATTGGACAGGACGTTAAAAGCCCAGAAGACATTATTAAAAATTGGTAGATGTGATTACATCAAACTAAAAGTTTGTACAAATGAGAACAATCAGCTAAAGAGACAACCCACAGTATGGAAGAAAATACTTGCCAGCTAGTCATCTGAAAGAGGGATGATATCCAATGTGTATATAGGAACTCTTAAACACTTAACAAATAATTATCCAATTGTTTTAACTAGACAAATGGTGTGATAAGACACTTCTAAAAAGAAAACATCAGATGACCAAAATAAAAATGGTAAACACATCAGAAAAAAAAAAAATCAAAGCCATGTTCTGCACCCCAGTAAAAATGGCTAAATGACAAAAGTAAACAAGTGCTGGGAGGATTGAAAGACAAAGAAATTCTGATCTTCTGTAGGGGAAATGTGAACTTAGCATAGCCATCAGAGAGAGCAATATAGAGTGCTCCAAACTAAAGTCAGGGCCTGGAGAGATGGCTTAGGAACACTTCCAGCTCTGGCAGAGAACCTGAGTTCAGTTCTCAGCTTATGTCAAGTAGTTCACAACTCTAGCTCCAGCGAATCCAACAACTCTGACCTCCACCAGCACCTACACTCATGTGCACATACCCCTATATGACACGCATGAATACACATAATCGAAAATAATACTTCTTGAAAACAAGATCTACCTGAACTATCTGTGCTTTGTACTGGATACAGATCCAAAATAAGTAAAATCAGCATATCAAAGGGATTTTTCCAAGTCTGTGGTGCTTGTGGCAATGTCAGTAATAGCTAAAATACAGAATCAGCCTCAGTGTCTGTAGCAAATGAATAAAGAAAATCTAATGATGATTTATGATACATGATAGATAGATAGATAGATAGATAGATAGATAGATAGATAGATAGATAGATAGAGATAGTCATCATATTTGAGTATTTTTCAACCATAAAGAATGGAAACATATCATCTGCAGCAAAATGAATGAAACATAAGTGAGATATAAGCCAGTCATACAAAGACAAGTACTACATATTCATTCTTTCTCATGTTAAACAGAATTGACCTGAAAGTAGTAATTAGTAAGGACAGAATGTGTTTGATTAGGAGACGGTAGAAAGACTATAATTGACTTGATCAGGACACTATAAACATATATGGAAATACTATGCTGTACCCTATTTTATAGATATAATTGATGTCTTCATTATCAACATTAGGAAGTATAATGTCTGATAACATACTAGAACATCTCTAGTTTCCTCCACCCAACAGTTAAGAGTCTGTCAAGCTGTATGGACCATTTCTAGCCAGCAAGCTGGAAAGCCGTGTCTATTTTCCTATTTGAATAAGTAACCCTGGCCTGTGTTGACTGGAAAGGTACTAGCTAGCACAGGATGAAGCAGCAAATCCACCTTTCGTGTAAGCAATGCACTTCACAGAGAGCAAACTTGGAATTTATTATTTAAATGGTAAAGCCTGAAGCATCTTGGTGTATTTCTCATAAGCATTCGAGTGTTCACTGGAGTCTTCCCTTTGTACAAACAACATGACTTTTCCCTGGATTATTGATTTAGGACTGCTTCTATCTACATAAAAATGCCTCTTTTCTTGTGTAAAGATCTCCTAGCCTCGGAGTAATAAGGCCATTTCTCTCCAGGAGGTAGAATGTGATGTGGCAAATGATTCTACTTTTCCAGAAATTTTTTATAAAGTAGCTCCTGGCCCTGAACATCCAGAGGTCTGGAAGCCAAGTTAAATGAGGTATGCTGTAAAGGAATAGGCTTTTTATGCGCTAACAAACACGTTTGCATACCTACTGCAGAGTCAGCATTTAACCATCTACAACGGAAGGTAATGCTTTGGTGTCTGCCTCCCAACATGCATGATCATGACAGAGTACATTTAAGAACTAGCAAATGTGTAGAGACATGCTCAAAGCTCCTGTGATCAGCATTCTCACAGGTTTAACACTGGTGCAGGGTAAAATGATGAAAGGTCTGCTCCATCCAGCAGTTCTATCCATACTCAAGAGCTGGCCTTCAGTCTTCCTACTGGTGAATTGTGTGTTACTGGTCAATACTGCTTAGTTTTCTTTCCTGTACAATGCAGTCAGCAATACCTCCCTCACAGACTTAGGATTACTCTTTGAAGTGAGATTTTTTTTTTTTTTTTACAGTTTTATTTCACTGGACACTAGCCATTTTTCTTGGCATTTTTAACGTGGTATTTCTCTTACCCAGGGCAAACACTGTATACTTGATGTATCGGGAAATGCGATTAAGCGGTTACAAGTTGCCCAGCTCTACCCCATCGCCATCTTCATAAAGCCCAAGTCTCTGGAACCTCTGATGTAAGTGGAGGACCAAGGTCCTCATGCAACACCCTGCTCCAAACACACAGCAAACAGCAGCAGTTGGTCCCAGAGGCTTACAGACAAGAAATGCCAGCTTTGATCATTAATCATTTCCTCCTTTTAATATATATATTAAACTTTTTTGAGTCATTAATTCTTCATTGTTTTATAAATTGCTTTAACTTTAACATTTTCTGCTTGTTGGTAGCTTCATTTTGGCCTAATAAGTTTTGGGGTGGAGGGGACAGTTACTTTAGTTTCCAGTTTCTGCAAATGACAGGTAGCTATCATTTTTATATTATTTCTTAACTTTGAGAACAGTTTCACAGGTAAATCTTCAAATGTGGGCATTTTGTTTTGTTTTTATTGAAGGAACAAAGAACACTTCCTAATCTTGACATTTTATATTACCCTTAGTAGGATCCTGAGTCTCTCTTTAAAAAACACACAGACCACAGTTCTTAACAGCCTTTCCTAGTGGCCTGACTATGAATAGCCTTAATATCTTCATCTCCACATCTGTGCACATATGTCAGTATGGGAAATGTATGGTTCTGATTGATTTCAAAGCATTTCCAAAGCTCTTATAAAATACCTTTCTTCAAAAAGCAGTAAACAAACTAGGCAGATATTCATGATCTGACAAAGCATTCCTCTAGGCAACCCTACAAAACTGAAACTACTATAAGAAATGGTAGCAGAGCAGAGATGTGAAAACCGGACAGGCTACGCCAGCTCTTTGCTTTGCCAATGATCCTTCATATAACCCCAGCACAAATTGTTTGAGCTCCCTAAGATTAGATCCTCACCTATAAACTATATAGATATTTACCTATATAGACATTAACATGTACCTTGTAGAGAGAGGGCTGAACAAGGTCACAGAGGCTCAAAGTCCTCATCATAGTAAGCACTCGGGAGTTAGTAGTATTATTGCAAAAGATATGAGGTTACTTTTTATGGAGCATTATAATTCAATCTTTATAAAACACATAAGTAGATCGCAGGAGAATGCCAGAGATGAGGTCAGTGCATCTGTTACAAGAGCCTAGCTCAAATATTGCCCCCAGGCAGGCCTCCAGAGAATGTTGTTGGACTGAACATACAGAACACAATGGAAAATAATGCTTATGGAAAGGTTATAAAAATAGAAGGTATTTATTCCCAGAGATGAAAGCCGTTGTTTTCTGAGGATAACAGCTACCTATCTGTTCTCCTCTGAGGATGAAACTGCAAATTGAGCCACAGCCATTGGAATGGCAGCTAAGAAAACTAACATAACCTAAAATGCATAGTTGATCTCTGGGGAAATCACCAGTTATATCCTAAAAGCAGAGTATCTCCCCAGAAGTAACGGTAAACAAGGTATCAGAAGCTGTCTTTGTGGGGCTGCAATCGGAGCCAGCAGAACAGCCCCAGGTTCATGCCTGAGACGGGGAGTGTGGATGAGGGAAAAACTAGCTAAAGGGTTTAAGAATCCAAGACTGAGACTCAGGGTAGGTGTCAGGAGGGCCATTCAATCCATACTGAATGTCATTTTGTTTATTCTTTCACGATCTTTCCTATTCAACCAATGGTGAGGACAAAAATGGCAGTAGCCTCTTATTATCATGGATAAAGGGCAAAGAGATTTACTTCCCTAAATCCTACAGGTATTTGGTAGCCACACCTGTCACCCAGCCTTCAGGGTAGAGAGTAAACGCACCTGGGCCCAAGTCTATTGTTATTTAGATAAAAGATATCAGCCACCAAGGCCAGAACATCCTGTAGCTGCCAACCTAATGTCTTTTAGAATAAGACAGATTTGAGCTCTCTAAACTTGTGGCAAGATGGAATGAACTCCTTTTCTTGGGTCCTGACAGCAAGGGTTTTTGCCAAGATAAGTAAACAAACTTAGGAGGCCAATGGGAAAACATGGCACAATCACCACATAGAAAACTGTGTATTGGTGATAAAAGGACACTCGGTGTTCTTACTCTGACAGCACATATTAAACTTCTCCTGTGTTGGGTATTACATAAAGTTAGTTAATGACCACAAATGTCATTATGTAAAATTGATTTATAATCTGTAGACAGCCACACAAAGCTATGCAATGTTAACATTAAGAGGAGAAAAGTAGTGCTCGCCTCTTAGGAACGGCATCATAAAAGCTCATTTCAGAAATAGAAATTAATCTACATGATAAACACACAACAGGACTAATGACTGCCTGGGGAAGAAAAGCCTGAGGGACCAGGAGCAGTGGCACAGTTAGTCCAGTCTGACTCTGGGAGACAGCCCATCTGGTACTCAGTGGAAGATCTACTTCCTTTCATAACTACCAAATGACTTATTTAGTTCTGCCTTAGGGTCCTGTCACAGGCACTTACCACCAAGGAAAATTAAGCATGCCAAAGGCTAGATGCCACAATGAGGACAATGTCTTTGGCATAATTCGAGGCGGCCTTATTCATGGACCTCCACTGTGGTGGTAATGGCACTCCACCTCATGCAGTCTCATTACTAAAGGATGGCTGTTTATGGTTCACTCTCTCCTGTTCACTTCAGAAGCAATGCTGTCATGAATTGCTCATTCCCCAGGAAGGGGCAGAGCTCGGTCAGCCAGAACACAAGCATGGCAGCTGTCACAACGAGACAGTGACACACCATCACACACATTACTTCTCACATGCATCACCCACAGAGCTGATTAGCAAGCATGCAGCTGCCTCTTCAGGGGAAAACAAATTCAAGGGCATATATGAGAGAAATGCTTTCAGAATGGGCTGCCTGCTGACTTGTGGACCTACCCCATGGCATTGAGAAGCTTTCCTGTACCCATGTACCCAATGGTCGTGTATGGCTTTGCACTCATGATGCATTGCATTTACCCCTACCTGTATCTATGCCATAATTACGTTTCTCTGCCTAACTCACCTTCACTCACTCATTCCAAGTGTCGAATCAACCTAATGAACAAGCTATAGGTTCTTCCTTCCATGAGCTTAGGCATGAACTCCAAGGAATTTGGTATAACATAACATCTGTTAGACTGTGGTTGTGGAAAGGGGCCAAGTTCTTACTCCAGAACTCCTGATTACTTTACAGACAGCCTTAGGGATGTCCCCTCACTACTTCAGGCCCCCACTACTTGCACTAGAAAAGGGACTGACTAAGCCCAGGCATTCCAAACCTGGATCTCTGGCCTGTAAGTGGAATGCAAGGCCATGATACTTTCAGAAATTTACCTAACCAGCCAATCAAAATGTCTTTTCATTTGGTTGAACCTTAACTTTTTTTTTATTTTTTATTTCATTTTGAAGTTCTCCTTCCCACCCTTCTGTCCTAACTGCCCCCTCCCCTTGCCGCCCCCCCCTCCATGCCAGCCCATCCTCTATCCAGTCCTCCCAACAGGTAAAAACCCCCATTGGGAGTCAACATCATTTGGCACATTAAGTTGGGGCAGGACCAAGCCCTTCCCCTCTGCATTAAGTCTGAGCATTCCACCATAGGGATTGGGCTCTAACAAGCTAGCCCATACACAAGGGACAGATCCTGGTCCTATTGCCAACTTTCTCCCACATACAAAGGACCTAGTTCAGTCCCAAGGAGGCTCCACAGCTGTCAGTCAAGAGTTCATGAGTTTCCATAAGCTTGGTTGAACCTTTACTTTCAGTGCCTAGAGACCCTGAGAAAATAACACTAGTACTGGTTAGGAATTAATAAATCCATTATAGAGAGAATTAGAAAAGTATCTATTTTACTCCCACCTTCTTTGTCCTTGAGACTAGGAAGCTTTTAAGTTATTATGTGTTCAAACAACATGTCTATATAATAATAAACCAAACTAATAGAGAGTCCTGGGCATAATTCCTTTACTTTCCTTTTCCTATCTGAAAAAAAAAAAAATCAAGCAGGCACAAGGTTTTTTGTTTTTTTGCCTTTAAATGCATTCCAATTTATAAATAATAAATGTATTGTTGATAGGACAAGGTATAATAATTTGGTTCATAAGTAAAAATGTAATGGTCAAGTCAGCCTCCTCGAACATTTGTCACTTGAGTCTATTCTTGAGATGAGTCCAATCCCTATTAGATGCTTTGAAATAGTGAATTAATTGCTGTTATCTACATTTACCTTAATGTGCTCTTAAACATTAGAGACTATTCCTTCTATCTGACTGTACCCTACACATCTTCTGTGTTAGAGATCCTTCTATATGAAGCTCCACATCCTCCCTCACCATTTGACTAAACTGCTCGGTTACAGTCTTACTTGAAACTATTATGGTCCCAGAACTTTCCAGTTATTCTGTGTTCACTGAAATGTCCATCTTCAACAGACACTTCCCTTGTCATCTGGTCATAAGAACAGGAAAGTTAGAGTTTCAGTCACTATAGGCAGGCCTCAACATTTGTAGAAGTTGAGTAGTTAGAGCTGCAGAATACCTCAGGGGTCTGCTCTACTTATCATAATACACTAGAAACTCTATGTGTTTCTGCTCACCAGAGTTGCATGGAGGGTGAACAGCAGACCTTAAAAGGAAAGAAGACAAGAAACTAAACCTTTTGTAAAACCTGAGAACAAACAAATTGAATTCCCTCAGGTATAGTATTACCTAACAACCCCAAGTACACTCTCCTATGTCCTACCTCTGACCACTTCTGGAAGACAGTCTTCAATTCTGGGTCTTACATGTAATTTAGAGGTGTAGAAATCTACTCAAACAAGCTCAAACAAATGAAATTTAAGATTAGAAATATAACAAAGAAGTAGCTGAAGGACAATCTGTTCTGATGAAGCAGAACCTCAAACAACACACAAGCCCTTCAATTAAACACTCTGAGGCCTGATGGAGAGGAAGTTTAATCTCACTCAAGGGACTGAAGGAACCAAAGAGACCAAACCCGGGTCTACAGATCACAAGGAGACAGGTTCTGCTTTGATCCAATATCACACATGATGCCTGTACTACAAGAGAGAGAACACACTGGCATGGAGCCCTCAGTGGTTAAAATGATTCCACCAAGTCCTAAATGAAGCCTCAACAGCTACCAAGATTGAACTATGCCTCCTGCAGGGTTTTGTTCAGTTTTGTTTTGTTTTGTTTTGTTTGTTTGCTATACATTTTAAAATTGGGGAGGTTCAGTATATTCTCTTTGTGTTCTAATAGCAAATCCTCATTTTCTCAGGGAGATGAATAAGCGCCTAACAGAGGAACAAGCCAAGAAAACCTATGACCGGGCAATTAAGCTAGAACAAGAATTTGGGGAATATTTTACAGGTAAGTTTCCTTGGCCCTGATAAATTGCCTGGTATTATACTTAGAATAGACTCCATGCCTGCTAAAGCTAGGCCCCCAAACCTTCCCAATGAGATTGCCTGGTAGTTTTGTTTTTTGTTTTTTTCTGTTTGGTTTTTTGTTGTTGTTGTTGTTGTTGTTTTGTTTTTGTTTTGTTTTGTTTTATGCTGTCTGCTTTGCTCATTTAGTTGAGGGCTTTGGATTCTGTCCTCCCTTCGGCTATTAGCTCATTTGCAGTTCTCCATTGGCCCTAAACCACGAATGGCAGAGGCTCCTGAGTGTTAAGGAGATCTTAGTCATGATACCTCATGAAATTATCCCCTGATAGATTCAGAAAACTTGAAAGGCTCAACATGGGCAGCAGTCTCTGCCTTGAAGACCCTCTAGGCCTAGCTCCTCAGTCAGCAGCATGAAAAGAACACATCTGGAGATATTTCAGTTAACACTGTTTCAAGTCCAATAATAGCTTTTGATTTTTTTTTTAAAAAAAAAAATGTCTTTGACAACATGCTGAATTAGGGATGGAATATAAATTTCTTGTGGATGTCCTGAGTTCTCTTTTCTTCCCTGTTCTCATGAAACACTGATTAAATCCTGAGAGAAAGCAGCCTTGGTGGAATTTATCTTGCGACTGATTCTCAATGATTTATAAACAAGACACTTGAGATGAAGCCCAATAATAGAGTGCTTACTTGGCTTGCACAAGTATCCAAGTTTGACCCATTCAAATATAACCCAAAATAACATTAACTCTAACAACTGCCCTTGTGAATTACTAGCATGAAATGAAATGGGGTTTGTTGCAGTCATTTTGAATCATACTCAGAATACCAAAAGTGCCAGTAACAGGGCAGTCTGCAACTGTTTTAACTAAAGTTAATGTTAAGGTTTCTCTCAATAATGTGAGTGATACGTTATTCAAAATGAGCATCCAGGTGGGAAAAATCAAAGGGCTTCAGAAATGAGTCCTCTTCCAGAGGACTCAAGTTCAGTTCCCAAGTGGGAAAATTAAATCAAAATAATGACTACTTGACTCATAGTTTGAACTCATGAGTAGATTGTCATTAGTATGCTCCAAAGATTGTTTTTGAAACATAAAGATGTAAGCCATATTTCAATAATAGTTTGTCTTGAGACCTTGGTGGCTGACAGATAATGCTGATGTTTTGGAGATCTAAGGCCAAGACAGTATTTATTCAAAGGAAACGAGAAAATGTGCTTAAATCTACACTGAGAACTGAGTGTTTTAGTAATTTGAGTTAATGATTTATGTTTCCTCTTATTTATGTTTCTTACTGGGTATGCACAGTATAAATAGCTCTGTGAGGTAAAAATCCTACTTTACCAAATAACTTGAAGAATAAACAGTGTTTCTCAATAAAGGTTTTAGGAATTGAAAAAGTTAACAAAACTTTTCTTTCAAAACTCCTGTTATTTCCATGTCTACAAGTCGTGAATTTTTGCCTTAGCTAGAGTGCAGTGTAGAAACTCCATGGCCAACAGGGAGTTCTCAGTCTGAAACTGCTGTGTTCTGTGGTCTGCTCTACTGCCTGGCTCAGAGTGGGCATCCATGAAATGAACAAGTGATTCTTTGCTGGAACTGGGAACAAACACAGAAAGTACTAAGATTGGGACTGACCTAGGTCATTGAGAGAATGCTTCTTTTAAGCATCGTTCATGTGACCACACTTGTGTGACTTTTCTTCCTTACTGGAAGGGGACACTAAGCTTTCTGATGAGTTGTCTGTCACTGATTTGAGCTTCTGTTGGGTGAGAAATCATTGCCCTCATCCCCAAGGGAATGCCTCCTAACTCTGGGTGTTTTTGCCTTTGACACAGCTATTGTCCAAGGAGACACCTTAGAAGATATATACAACCAATGCAAGATTGTTATTGAAGAGCAATCTGGGCCTTTCATCTGGATTCCCTCAAAGGAAAAGTTATAATTTAGTTACTGCACCTCTGACAACGACAGAAGAGCATTTAGAAGAACAAAATATATATAATATAATACTTGGAGGCTTTTATGTTTTTGTTGCATTTGTTTTTGCAGTCAATGTGAATCCTTATGAATGTACAACACAAACTGTGTGAAGCCATGAAGGAAACAGAGGGGCCAAAGGGTGGGACAGAAAAGACATTGCAGTATGCAGGAGGCTTTGGTTTGCTCAAAGGACCAGGTGTCGGGATGAACCTCTGATGGGCTCTCTGCCCTAGAGATAGGCAGCCTTCTCACCCCAGCAGATGTCCAGAGCTGATTTAACTGCTGAGCTCTCTGTGTTTTTTGCTTTAAGAAAAGTTGCCAGCACTCAAACCTCACCAACCTTCCCTTTCCCCACACCTCTGTAATTGGTACACTTCGAATTTTATAACTATGCACATCCTTTGATTTAACAAGCAAAGGAATTAAGGAAACCAGAAAAGAGAGACTTTGGAGACAAAGTATTATCAGGGGAGGAAGATTGTTTAGTTTCCTTGGCTGGCATGTGCAAAGACAAGTGTGTCATAAAATTGACAACTTGTGTGAGAATTAACCTTACTGAGGAAGGGATTCCACCTGGACTAGCTTTATGATTGTCAATTGTCTATTTTGCCATTTATAAACTGAAAGAAGGCACTACAGATGAGAATAATTTATACAATAAAATATAGTAAATGTATAGAAATGAATTTCTATAGGTTAAAAGTTTTGTGAAATATTTTGTAAAGACTAAAAAACCATTGAAAGACTAAATGTACGCCCTCTCAGCAGATGATCAAATTCAAGAATTTGAGGTTGCACTCTTCCTTTTGTTGCCAATGACCCATTCAGAGCATCTGAGTGCCCACCAGGTCTGATGAAGACTTCTCCCTCCCTTACCTCCCTCATCACCCATGCGCACTAGTACACTAGCGATACACTCTTATGGAACACATCCCTTAATAAGTTACCCTCATGGATAGTTTTGGAAGAGTTTTTTTTTTTTTTTTTTTTTTTTTTTGTTACCTTTTTTAAAGCTGATTGGTTTTTAGAGACAAACTCATGCTAATAATCAAAATGGAATGATTGCTTTTCTCCAGTTAAATAGTTTGAGCCAACCATGCAGATAGTCAAATTCAACTTTGTTCCTAGTCATTTGCATACAGTTCAAGACCCAGTATTCTGGCAAACCATAAGTCATTAGGATTATCTTTTCTTTGTTTCACAGAGCAACTGAGTGTTTTGTAACAACCCAGGTTGGCATTACAGGGGGCGATCTGTCCTAAGATGCACTATTTCCCTGAGGAAGAGAAAAAAAGAGAAGTTATCTGGTTGGGAGTGGTGAGGGATGCACTTTTCTTGTTTCAGTATATGGGCAAGGACAATTAATGACTTTGAGCTCAATCAGTTGAACTGCCTTCCTTAGGGCTACACCTGGACCAAGTTCATTTTTCTAACAATTATAATAATGATGATCTGAGGGAAAAATAAAAAACTTCCCAAAGCCTATAAGCTGAAACATAAGAGTTAGCTTCCCACTTTAGCACTGATGGTGACGTCAGCACTGGTTCTGCCCAAGGTATTCAGAGAGAGACTTTTTAGTGTTATTAATAACCACTTACATCTGGGTTCTATGCATGCCCAGATTAAGCCCCATCGCCTTATTTCTGGGGTACATCAAGACCTGGCAGGATTCTGCCACACTGTGCAGCCAACCAGCACGTAGGCTGGAGTACAAGAACAAAAGACAGAGCCATCAGAGTGATGGGGCTTCTTCTAAGTTAGAACATCGGGGCTTAAAACCGAGTCTCTTTCCAAAATCAAGGGTCCTTCATACCATCGTCTGCCTAGCTGCAGTCACCAAAACAAACATTAAAATGCAAAAGCATGTGTCTACCTATAGTTTTGAGGCAGCCTTTGCCAATGGAAAGGGGTAGCAAGCAGCCATGCTTTTCCCTCCTCACATGAAAGTTCAGTTTTCCAGAGATAGCTTTAGATGGCTCAAAATGTTAAAAGATGTGTCCATGTCTGCAACTCACCAGTTTCAGGTCAAGGCCAACTTCCATCAATACTGAACTCAGAAGTTTTCTGCCACTAGAATGCCATTCCTGATCCCTGCTCTCTTTATAGGCCACCATGATAACTTCTTTGGTTTCTCCACTGAGCATGCAACCATTTACCTTAGAGAATTGTCATTAATGAGTAGATGTTTTCTCCAGTTGTGTGATGTGCTTTCCATTTGATAGTATTGCTGTGGCTGAGTACAATCAAATTGAACCACAAACCATTGGTTTTGTAGTAATATAGTTATTTATTTTCCCAGTGTAGATGCTTCCAGATTAGCATTAGCACTGATTTTTTATGTAGATTTATATAAATATATATACATATATATTTGCTTGAAGAATCACCAAGCACATTGGTGAGAGGGTCTTTTCCATAGAATCCACACATCCATTTTGTTGTGTTGTCTTGCAATTCCCAATGTTGAGGTCTCTATGGCTCCAAAGACCTGGTGTATTTTGCAGCAAATCCAACAACATATATGGAAATGGCATGAAAGTCACCCAGATCACATCTGGTGCAAATGCACCTGGAGCCTTGGGCCAGACTGGTGCTAACACTGCAAACTTTGTCCGGAGCTCTCTCCAATCTGAAGGCTTGCTGGGGGCACAGTGTCACCTTCACATGCTGGGCCCTTTCAGAAAAGTGCCAGATCGTGTCACTGGTGCTATTTTTCATGCTCTGGTACAATGTGTAGCACCATGGGGGTCTCAGCTTTACCAAAACCGAAATCCCACTTGTCAGCCAATTGTTGCTGAGGCATTTGCTTATTGCTCTTTTCCATGAGAGTTGATGGCCTACTCTTCAAAGGCCTTTCCTCCCATACCCAAAGTCAGGGGTTGGCTCTATCCACTTGGCAAGCCCAACTAGATGAAGCTGCACTCAGGTGCCTCTGTAAGCTGTCTTAGATCCTACTGCCAGCCCTTCAGGACTGAGCCAGGGATGCTCTGTGCACCTCTGGCTCTCACCTATTTCCTCCCCTAATTTTTTTTCTACTGCTTCCCTTCTCTCATCACCTCTGTCATTTTGACCCTCCCCTGTTGATCCTTCCTGAGTTGTGGACCTCACCCCTCTTCCTCTCTCTTTCTCTGTCCCTCTCTCGTTCGCCTTCACCTTCTGTTTCCCTTTTTATGCCTTTCTCCCAAACTTACCTGCCTTCTTCTCTCATCATCCCACTCCTTAGTTTTCCTGTCCTATAAAGGGCTCACGGCTGATTCAGACAGCAAGTCCACACAATGGACTATGACACAAATACTTGGGGCCACCATTTTATTTACTCAGCCCAAAAAACAAAGCTGAGTGTGAGGCCCTGACCTGGAGCCAGCCTGCACCACTGCCCTGGCAGTGCTGATGCAAGAGCTGTGGGCCCCTGGCACCTGGAAGCCTCTGCCTGGACCCGGCTCCAGGAACTCCCTCCCAGCCACACCCAGGCTGAGGACGCTTCATTTTAACAGAGGCAAACTCTGGCCCCAATAACTATTCTAACAAACCTCACTGAAGCCATGACACCGCCCTGGTTTGGAGAGAGAGATTTTCCCTACTTTATTTTTCTCATTTCCATGTGAAGCCCCCTCTGCTTTTCAGCTGGTGATTGCTCTGGTGAGACTGAATGGACATGCTAGTGGAATGACATCTTCTTTACTGTCTTGGTCCTGCCTAAAATTTCTACAAAAAAGCATTTAAGTCGAGGACTAAGGCTAGTTCCTAAGTTTATTATATAATGAGTCACTCCTGGGGAGACATCAGTTCCCTTAAAGCATGTGGAGTACCTCCGGTAACAACTCATTTTCCAGGAAACTCCATAGAGAATTCTGTGGGTATGCATTAAGTGTATGGTATATATGGTATGTGCACCATGTATACACAGTACATGAGGTATATGATTCAATGTGGTTGGAAACACATACACACTTCAGTCTGTAAATATCCCTCCTCACTGAAACCTGTGCTTCACAAATCATTTCTCGAACAGCTGTGCAGTTTCTTGTAGCAGCTGAAGACAAGCTAAGATAGGCAGAAAAATTTGGTAAAGTTTGGCTAAAAGAGTACAGTATCTCCCTCAAAGCTCATGAGGACAGAAAACGAAGTGGCAAGGTTGACTCCCGATAAGATGGAAAACTTATCTTCTTTTCAAATTTGTGTTTCCTAAGTGTATCTTAACTTCCGAGTGCACCAGATTGTACCCATTAGATCCTTTTACTATGACAATTTTGTGCTTCTCTCTGACAGGGTGTTTCTCCATCGAGCTGTAATGCAGGAAGGGAAGGGAGGGAGGGAGGAGGAATTACTCCTTGCCTGGTTGGAGTTTACAAAGATACTGCACAGCTTACACTCCTGTTAAGTGTAAATATTCAACACTTCCATTCCATTTGTGTAAAAAATAAAGCACACACGATTATAAAATCAAGATGTATATTTCATACTCCGTGTGTCCATGAGTATTTATTGAGTTACCACATGTTAGTGGCGGCCCCATTGTAAAACTGCTTGATAGAGTGTTTATAAGCATGTCAGGGTTTTCTTACATAAAATGTTAAAAACATACTTCATAGCAAAATTATATTCTCCCAAAGCATAAATTTGTGTTACTTCACAAGCAATAACTCATTTCTATTTACCAAATATGTCTTATTTCAGAGCAAAAATGCAGTTAAAGTTATGTTTGCAGTGAAAAATATTGGCACTGCTGAGAGAAACTGACAGTGCTGCGTATGCATATTTTTAAATATCTGATTATCATCTTGACTGCTTTTAATCAAAAATTTTTCCAAGAATGAATAATGCATTAAAAGTTAGACTTTCTAAAACATAGCACTATATAGAGAAAAAAAATTCCCAATATTAGAAAATCCTAAGAATTTTTTTTCCCTTTCATACTTAAGGCACAAAGAAAGGCCTAATTTGGAGACACAAAGTCATTATCTGTATATCCTAGGGCCACAAAATATATCAGCACCAAAAATGTTATGTGAAGAAATCTAGATCTTCCAGTCGTAAACTCTTTGGTTTAAACATATTCTGTCATCTTGGCATTTAGGTAAAACAGGTGTTAGAGCTGACAGTCCAAAACAAATTCCTCCCGGGGAAGGGCTGAAAATGCTTGTGTCAATGCAATCACTCTCAAGTATGACATGTAATATATTCTCATGTCATTGGAAAACCAATTCCGAATCTAGCTCAGTTGATCTTACTATCGCGGCTATCACTATGAGCCAACAAGAATGATGAATGATGCTGTTCTTAGTGCTTAGGGATAAACATCCTCTCAGCTTAACACACTGAGGCTCAGTGCAGATCAAACCTCCAGTTGCAGTGATTTAATTATTGTTAATATTCACTCAGCTTTGTCTGATTTAATATTAGTGTTATTCTTCACAAAAGCCAGATTAATTTCAATAGCAAGTGTCTATTTCAGAAGAAAAAGGCTGAAGGAGGATCTGAATTTTGTGTCCTTCCTCATTTTTACATCTCAAACACTCTAGAAGTCTCAAAAGCTAGAATTGAGCTACACATCTCTGAACCTAAACAAGTATAGTTAAGAATCTGATCTGTGGGTTAACAGGTCCCCCACAGACAAGCCATCCAGTAATATAACATAAAAGACCATGGCACAGAACCAAGGAAGACTTGTTGAGGGAGACATTTG